TTTCTTTCTTTCTTTCTTTCTTTCTTTCTTTCTTTCTTTCTTTCTTTCTTTCTTTCTTTCTTTCTTTCTTTCTTTCTTCCTTCCTTCCTTCCTTCCTTCCTTCCTTCCTTCCTTCCTTTCTTTCTTTCTTTCTTTCTTTCTTTCTTTCTTTCTTTCTTTCTTCCTCTCTCCCCCTCTCTCTCTTTCTTTCTCTCTTCTCTCATATGTTACACCTGGACCACAGTTTCCCCTCTCTCCTCTTCTCAAAGTCCCTCCTCCTCCCCTCCCTCGCCCACAGACCCACTCCTCCATTTTCCACATTGTACACAGATGTGATTATGTGGGTTACGTGCATTATATATATTTTGTGGGTTATGTGATCTTGATATTTTCCAGAATGTTTTCCATGTGATTATTCTTGTTAGATCACAGTGTGATCATACATTCAAATACAAATAAATCAGCATTCTCTGTTGAGTAGGATGCCTCAGTCTCACACTTTCATGTCATATGTAATGCTGAAATGTGTAGAGGAATGGCTGATTCCCAGCGGAGTGCAGAAGTGCAATGAACATGTTTTTGTGTGTGTGCCTAAGTATTGAATGTACATTTTCAACCATGCTAGTCACATGCTCCCACTAAACTATACTACCAAATAGATTTTTCTCAACTTTTTTGAGGCTGGCCAGAATGAATGTATAATCCCAGATGGATTTATGATTGTTTATATTCTTTTTGCCTCAGCCTCCCAAAGTTCAAAGAATTTGATTTTGCTCGACCTTCAAAGACTTTTTAACTTATACTTCTGAAAGCTAATATTCTGCCTAGTGTTATAACTCAAGGTCTGCCAACTATGACTGTTCAAGGAGACATTAATGACAATTTCTTCATCATGACAACAAGCTATAATTTCAAATCACCTTACCATGTATGAACATCTTAAAGACCCAAATAATGTCATTCTCTCTGCTAATTTACAAGCTGCCCAACTTACAAATCCTAGGTAATTGGGAGAATCTGAAAGAGGGTCAGTAGGGTAAACCAGAGACAAGAGCCATAGATCTGAGCTCAGCAATTCAGAAATTCAGTTTCTTGATGACCACTAGTAATTATTGCCCCTTGCCAAGTATCTGGAACATGAGCTAGGTACTCTTCAAAACTGCCCTAATCCAATATTTTACATCATACTAACCTACTCACACATGATTATGTTGTTTGGCCTTATCTACACTAATCTGTTTTCTAAAACCTGTTTACACTTTCGCTTCCTCCCTTTTCATCTGATGCATTTTTATAAAGTTTTATTTAGAGAGTAAGAAGTGAGAAATGAGCAAGTGAGAATGTGAGAAAGAGGAAAAGGGGGAATGGGCTAGGAAGAAAGACGGAGTAGGGGAAAGGATGAAGAGGGCATGAAGGTCATTTTTCTTAGGCTACTCTTAGGGTAGGCACCATGCTCAGGAGGCATTAAGTGGTACTCAAAGAGGAATAACTGAAGAGATGTGCTTAGAGTGTGTGCTAAATGATTCTGGAGAACTAACCATGTGAAAATATGTCTCAATGTCTGTGTGAAGGATTCTTTCCCTGTGTGTATTTGGTAGATATGTGTTTCTGTGTTGGACACCATGCACTATGTCAGGAAGGAAAGATGAATAGAGAACAAATATGCAGGTTGAAACACACTAGTACCATTTCTTTGAAACAGTTTAAGAGAACCAACTGAACAGAATAAGGACAATTTGGGGACAAAACTTCAGAGTCAGTGATGAGGCAGGGCTGGCATTATGTTCCCTTGGATGAGACCCACTCAGGTGAAAGAAGAAAACCCTGCCATAGTTGTGGTTTCCCAAAGTAATAAGTGACCTTGAATATTCTTGTACAAGTGTGTTCTGTGTGCATACACACACACACACACACACACACACACACACACACACACACCCTTCCCCCTACCCAGCCACAAAATTGGGCATCATTTAGACATAGACCTACTGACCAGCTTTTGCTGTGCTAGTTCTTGTTTCATATTGAGAAAGTAATGACAGTTCAATCAGCCATTGATACACACACAGCCAGGTATAGAGTTAAAGGATTTTTAATGGAGGAAGAACATTGAAAATTCACTTATGTCACTCTCCATTCCCCTTCAGATGAATCCTGAGCTATAGGAAGGTTAGCCACTCAGTAAGACTTTGGGCCATGATGAGAAGCTCGGGAACTCTCAAGAATAAGTATGACATCTTTTTAGATGGTGCAAAGAAGGAAGGATTAAGACTGTGAAGGTCACAGTACGTGGAGCACAGGACAATGGGACTCATAGGTGGAATGCAAAGGGGCCTCAGCATCTGGTTATCAGGTCTTCAAGGCACAGCTGGGGACATTACTTCTGCTTTGTCTTCTGCTGGTATGGTGATGGAGTGACAGTTGAGGGACAGGGCTCAGGAACAACTGGGTGGCAGGGCTCAGGTGCCTTAGGCTGGCAGGGCTCAGGAACAACTGGATGGCAGGGCTCAGGTGCCTTAGGTTGGCAAGGCTCAGGTGCCTTAGGTTGGCAAGGCTCAGGTGCCTTAGGCTGGCAGGGCTCAGGCACCTTGGGCTGGCAGGGCTCAGGCACCTTAGGCTGGCAAGGCTCAGGCACCTTAGGCTGACAGGGCTCGGGAACATTGGGGTTGCAGGGCTCCTTGGTTTTGGGACCGCAGGGTTCCTGTGGTGGTGGCTGGCAAGGCTGTTTCACCTGCTGCTGGTGCAGCTGAGGGGGTACAGTGCAGGGCTGCTTCTGCTGGTGGGAACTCATGGTCAGATGTCACTTGGTCCTGAAAACAGAAAAGCCAATTTAGTGATTCATTGAAAGAGAAGGTAACTTCAATGTCAAGTAAATTTAGTTCCAGGCCCTTTAGAGAAAAGAGCCTCTCTCCATGAAGACTTCTGCTCTTGAAAGTAAAACACAATATGATAACTTCTGGACCTTTTCAAGAGGATGAGCCTGGTTTCCTCTGGTCCATCTCAGTGTGTTCTTTTCTTACTCTCATTCTCCCTGTCCATGTTATACACCCAACTTAAGAAGCTTTAAAGCAAGAGTGAAAAAGGCCAAAGTATAACAGCATATGCATATGAAAATCTTACACTAAAACCTATGTCTTTATGCTAACCAAAAACATTAATGACAATTTCAAGAAAGCAATAAACTGTCTTTAAAAAGCTGGCTTCTGGTATGTGAACCCACACACCAGGACATCTGGAAAGTGGTGCCAGCCAAATAAAACAATGCACCAATTTTCTTGTGAGATAAATCACAGTATGAATTACAGGGTGGCTGCTTTTTAATCCATACCTGTATGTTTTTACCTTTTCTAGTTTACGCTCTCATGGGCTTCCTACAGATATTTCCACTTCTGTCTCTGCTTACCAAATACTCTTTCATTATAGTTCTCAGTAGCTGCTACCATTAGGAGGCTATTCTTGAGCCATGCCTCCACCCGCACGGCCCCTCCTCAGCATTACTTCCCACACTCGCACTGTCTGTCCATGACATCTCAGCTTCACATGTGTCACCTTCTCTGCCAGACTAGAAGTTTGCTAAGCACCATATTGGCCTGGAAAAAAATTAGCAGAACTATTCAATGAATTAAATTTCTATATTGAGTTTCCTGCCAGGAAGAACTTCAGTAGATGTGAGAGCTCTCTGGGCCTACGCCTTAGCCTGTGTCCTGCTGTGATCTTTGGTGAACATTTGAGTGGATCCTTCCTTTCCCCTTCCCTGATCTCTGATTCTATGGCTGTCTACTAAGATGGATGACTGAGCCATCTCTTAAGTTCCCTTCAGACCCAAACTGTGCTATAATTTAAGCAAGCAATGCTAGTGGTCTCTAACTCTGAGTCGCACTGCACATCAATTCTGCCAAAGACATTGCACAGTTTCCTGTAGTAAAGAAATAAGCAAGAATTTCAAATAAGTTGTGAGCAGAGACTTACCTAAGACTCAGAGGAGAGTGGGTTCTCTGTTAGTGTGGGCTCTGTGTGAAGGCAATGGCCAGGTGGCTTTTATAGGAAGAACACCTCCAGGAAACAGACTCGCCTCAGATGTTCTGTTTTCATTTCTTTCCAGTCACCCGTGACTCACCCTCCTCCTGTCCTTCACCCTCTGACTAAGCTTTTGTGGTGGAAACCACCCAGCTGATACAGTGACACTGACAGTTTGACGGTGATGTCACCTGGGCTCCCTGTCACCCTTCTCCTCAGGCCCAGGTGTCATGCTTGTGTTGGGAGAGAGTTAATGAGCTGGCCTGGAGGAGGTCTGAAGTGGTCCCCAAACCTGTTGTCTTCCTTGAAGGTGGCTGATCCTTGTCCTCTGTGTGACAGAATATGTGCATGTAAAGAACTAAAGAGAAGGGGAAAGCGGGGACGGGGTGGGCACTCGCTGTCTCTTAGTGAAGGTATGTGTTGGAAACACAGAAGTAATGGAAGATAGCTTCTGCAAACTGTGTGGATGGTTCAGAACTTTATGTATATTTCTTACATTTTCTTGTACCTCCATGGAACTATGCACATTAAAATTCATTTGTGTATTACCCCCAACCCCACCTCTTTCTGGCTGGTCCCTAACCTGGGAAACCTGCTTTGCTTCCTCACCACACCCTCTCCTTCTCCCCACAGCCTCTTTCTGAAATTTTCAACTGCTAAAGCTGATCAGTTTTCCAGGGTAACCTTTCCTCCCACTCCACCCAGCCATTTGGCTGTGGCTGCTTCCTATTTACGAGCCCAGCTGGATCCTTCCCCATGCCTGAAAACTTAGAAGCCTTTCGTAACTTCCTTCATTCTAGGTACAGCAGTGGGGATTTGAATGACTCTGTGAGGAGCCGGAAAGAGGCCCTCCGTTGTTACCAAGATGAACCTGTGAACTAAGACTAAAACTGCTAAATGTTGACAAGGTTTTGGGGATTAAACCGTAGACATATCTCAATTTAGAAAAGGTAGGAGGGTCATGAATTAACATAAGGAGAAATAAGATACTCAAATAGCAAGCCTGGAAAGTATGGATCACAGGCTATCTTAAGCCAACAACCCCAGTGGTTAAAATGGTGCAGCATCTCTCTCAGATGGGGTTCTACATTTGCCATGAAAAGCAGCTTCATCTACAGAGAACTCTTGGTATAGAAATGACTGACACATATTAAAAACACTGTAAGTATTTGTTACATGAACAAGAAATACATATTACCATGGGAACATTATTAGTTTGAACAGACACGGAACTGATCCTTGAGAACCCTCAGAGGTACCAATTCAAAGAAGGCAGGAAAATACTTCAGTCTATCAAAGGTTCTAGCTGGTCAGAATCTGAGAGAGGAAGGAGAAGGCAGTGATGCTAAATTGGCAGTTTCAGAGTTACTTATTTAATGTATATGAGTGTTTTACCTGCATGAAATATATGCAGGGACCATGAAGATCAGAAGAAGGTAGCAGATTCCATGGAATTTGAGTTAGGTAGGGTGGTGAGGCACCATGTGGATGCAGGGAACTGAACCCAGGTCCTCTGCAAGACCTGGAGTCATCTGCAAGATCACTGAGTCATCTCTCCAGTCCCTAAAAAGACTTTGAATTCGGTTGATTTTACTCAGGAAGAGGTTTTAAGATAGCACAGCTACATGACAAGGGTGAGACCCATCTGAATATCTGTTGAGAAGTGTGCTCCCTTCATGATGGTCATTTTCTGTGGATTCTCCCTCTTATGGAGACTTATGGGTTCTGGGGGCAGAAAAAAGAAGCACTCCCTTAGCCCTGGCACCAGTGATTTTCTCAAAATAACATGAGACTAATGTCACTGATTCAGAACCACATTCCAAACACTATCTGTTAAAGGGTGTGGCCTTTGGAACATCTAAATTATCTTAAAACTCGTGTGTAGATGGTGCCTCTTCTTCACCCCACACAAACACACGCCTAAATGTTTTTGAAGCACCTGTGCTAGCCGCACGGCTACATCACCTCTTATGAACTTGAGTCATGCTCATCCTTCTACTCTGTCCCAATATCCACTGTTTCTCATTCATGGTAACATGCTGTCTGGTGTATAGTATTTATTCAATAATTGACCCTAGAACTATTTCTCCCCAAGTTCCCTCCTCAGGTGCTCCAATAGCAGGAACTCCAGAGTGCTACCTGCTGCTATCTTTAGGCAAAAATCTTAGCCCCAGAGGAGCTGACTTCCCACCTCTCTGATATCTTGCACCACACAGTTGGAAAACTTCTCTGATCCCCATAGAGCTGAGCAATGATAGCAAATGCCTTAGTCCCAACACTTGGAAATCAGAAGCAGGCAGATCTCTAAACTCAAGGCCAACCTGGTTTACAGAGTGACCAGAATAGCCACGGGCACACAGAGAAACCCTGTCTTGAATTCAAATGAAACCTAATCAAAACAAATGGGGTGGGGGAGAAGAAATAAAAAGGGCCTTCCTTACTGGCTACCTTCTTCCAGGTAGATTCTGCCTTAGCTTGTGCTCCTTCACCTCAAGGCAGGCCGTAGAGCCAGGCACTGGAATTTTTTCTTGACACTAGCACTGTTCCTCCTGTTTGTATATCTGAATCTCTCTCAACGCTGAAGAACTTTTCTCCTCCTCAGTATTCTTAGTTTCTCAGCCACCAGGGCCAACTTGAGGAAAACCTCACAAAAATATGAGAAACTGACCAGCAGCCAACATCACTCAGGATTTCCAGCCTTGCCAAGGATCTCCCACTTTCTGCAGAAGGCTGCGGTTTCTCCCAGGATGGAAGCAGGCCCCTTTCATTCCAGCCCCTTGATTGTCCACTGAATAGGATAGGAGCTGTGCCTCATTCACAAAGCTAAGCAAATTGATTAATCAGGGCGGTTGGCTTCCCCCAGGTTCCAGGTTCACTTACTCCCTCCACTTCACCAGTCTGGATTGTGTAAAGAAAGTCATGTGCAATGCAATTCTGTGAGACTTCCTGTGAGTCTGAGCAATTAAAGTGCATTCAAATTGAGAAACCCTGAGTTTTTTTTTTGTATTTTATTTTTTTCTTATCAGTTACATTTTATTAACTCTGTACCCCAGCCGTGTCCCGATCCCTCATTCCCTCCCAGTCCCTCCTAAAGAATATTACCTTTGCCTGTTCTCTGATTGCCAGGAAGATCAGGGGAAAACCAGTGTTGGCTGCTCAAATTCGGCTGTCAAGTTGTTTGGTTTTGTTTGTTTGTTTGTTTTAAGTTTCTACAAATTTTTGAGTCTTCCTTTTAAATAAGGCAGCAGAAGGAAGAAATACTGGATCAATTAATCAGTCCTGAAGACACTGGCCTAAACAGGCAGGAGAAGATTGAGTTGCAATCCGGAGAATAGGGGAAGAATGAGCACATGAACTCAATACTAGCAAATTTCTACAAAACACCTAACCCCAGGCAGGGAAAAACAAGGTTTGGGAGGGGCACACTTCATGCTCCACAGCTTGTTTTTCAGCCAATTTTTCCAGAGCCTGGGATTCGTGATTTCTCTCCTCTCCATTGTTTCAATTGGAACAGACCAATCTTGAATTCTCCCTTTCTCTTCCCACCCCTGAAGAGATGAATAAAAATTTCAACTCTGTTTTTCTTGCTTTTAGGTGGTAGAAGAGAAAGACAGACTTAGTCAACTTTGGTCCACCTATTTATGCCTTTATTAGTCAGGCTATCTTGGGCAATTTACCCCAATTTTCAACACTTAAATGACCTTATCTTTAAATGATATTTACTCTACATGGATTTATTACAAAAATGAAATGAAATGATGCTTCAAGTACTGAACAATTCCTCCTGTCAACAATGTTTCCCCTTTCCCTCCCTCCTTCAGATAGGTATCTTTTTTGCTAACATTCTTGGCCTTTGTGATTTGTGTTTTCTCCATTACTCACTGTTACCCAACTTTCAGGTTTACCTTTTTCCAACTTTATCTTGAGTTATTAGGTAGTGACAACGTCTACATAATCTTTGCTTTAAAGATCAGATGATGACTTAAGTCAATGTTGATCATTCCATGACCTGATCATTACCTTGTTAAAGAAACAGAGGCAGAGAAGTCATCAACTTTCCAGGAGTTCATAAAGATGATCTGTACTGTGTTACAGTCCCTTGACAGCTATGTCCAGTGCTAAGGCAAGTTACTCTTAGAAAAAGCTATGACCAGGTCATGATCTGATCACCATCTCCACTCATCAGAGATGTGATCCTCTGTATATGGATAATCAAATGATACAGAGACTACACAGAACATGGAAGCTCAGGCTGAAGTACTCTGGCTCAGAGCCTTCATTGCCCCATGGGCTGCTGAAGGACAAGAATAGGGCTGAAAGTTTTCTACAGAGAGTGTCTGTGATTAAGGAACACGAGAGATCACTGTATGGCCACCGTTCCCTTCTCCTGTTTGTGCACTTGCTCCTTCTCAGCAAGTTTCAGCAGGGTGCGAGCACCCTCTGTAGACCAGAGGCTAAAATCTCAACTCTGTGCTTTACTAGTTACATTTTGTGATGTCGGGGAGTTTCTGAATAATGATTGTTACCATTATTTTGGCCCTAGTCCCCACAAACACAGCGTAAGAAACAGAGACATGGAAGCTGAGGCACAAAGTCTCTTGAGAAGTTGTGGGCAATCAGGTGACTGCCAAGATACAAACCCAATACTGTGAGGTCAAGGCCCTTGAGATTCAGTTTATCTTACATGTATCTTAGGAATGATAATATTTGCCTTCAGAACTGTTATTACATGCGATTACATAGGCAAAACAACTCTATGATGACTAGCACACAGCAATGGGCAATGAATTTTTCCTCAGGGTTTGACCCACAGCTATTATTAGAAACTCATTTCTAGTGACTCAGAAAATTCTTTAATTTTCTTCATATTTGAAGCAGTCACTTACTCACTGAATACATAGCTGCTGAATGAGAGTCAAATGGCAAGCATGAGATCCCAGCTTTGAGAAATCTAGTGGAGAAATAGGCAACATTCTATACACTTCTGGGAACTAA